GGGGACAGGGGAGGACAAACACACGCAGGACATTTCTGCATCCAGTGACATTTTACAAACCCGGACAGATGTGAAATTAGCCGGCGGTAATTGGGCCGGATGGAATCAGAAGAGAGAGCGAGCGGCTGAGTGAGAGTGCTGCAGGAAAACACTGATGTGTGTGTGTGATAATGAAGAGGCTTCACACACACACACACACACACCACTTAGAGCTGGCAGCTGCTTTTTTTTTATGTTTATGGAGAAGAAAATGGAAAGGAGAGTGAGTCTCTGTTGAATTTCTCACTCGACGACGACGTCGACGTCAAGGCTTTAATTTAGAGTTTCAACTGTTGGAGTCGTTTCAGTGCCGTGGTTTAACTGGGATAAATCTGTATTTATCAAGTACCTTTCAACAGCGTTTCTCTCTCTCTCACACACACACACACACACACACACTGAGCAGCAGCTGCCACGAAAAACTTTTTTCACCAGAATGAAGCGTCACATTAAAGCTTTTAGTTTAATTTTCACACCGTGTATGAATAAATTTTATTCTTTACAAAAAAACCCAAAGGCTCAAAAACCACAAACGCAGTGAACAAAGAAGTTTAACATGACGGACGTCTTTATGAGCCCTGGGCCTTGATTGCATTTATTTTGATTCAATAATTACAAACAAACAAACAAAAAAAAACAAAACAAACTCAACTCATCTTTCTCTGTTGCCTAATTTCACAAAAACCACAACAGGAAAAAAAAAAAACGATGCACACACTCAAGCCCAGTAGGTGGCGCCAATGCACCTACTGTCGTTGCCAGTGGAAACAAGATAAACATGATGTGTAGAGTAAGGTTAACATTAACAAGAAAGTTTGGAGAACAATGAAGGACGATGACAAACATGTTGGGGGAAAGTTGTTGCGCCCCCCAGTGGCAGTTTGGATAACAGGTACAGCAGGTACAAAATGGTACAACAAAAAGCTTAAATAGCACTGCAGTACTTCAAGTCTACTACAGTATTATCTCAGTGTAAAACATGTTGCTGTGAGAACAGACACCAGCGCTAACGTTAGCTACAACAGTCCTGGTACATACGCTAGAGCTAACGTTAGCTACAACAGTCCTGGTACATACGCTAGAGCTAACGTTAGCTACAACAGTCCTGGTACATACGCTAGAGCTAACGTTAGCTACAACAGTCCTGGTACAGACGCCAGAGCTAACGCTAACTACAACAGTCCCGGTACAGACACCAGAGCTAACGTTAGCTACAACAGTCCTGGTACATACGCTAGAGCTAACGTTAGCTACAACAGTCCTGGTACAGATACCAGAGCTAACGTTAGCTACAACAGTCCTGGTACATACGCTAGAGCTAACGTTAGCTACAACAGTTCTGGTACAGATGAAAAAACACATTTCTGTTTTAGTCTACCTAGTGTAGTGTCTGGTTTTTTAATAACGTTGTTGACATTTTTGTAATCATTAAAAGCAGGAACACACTGAGTTTGTAAATTCTTTCTTTTCTATAAAACATAACAACAATAATAAAATAAATCCCCTCAGGCCGAGGCGTCAGTCTGAGCCTCTCAGCTCTGCGGGAGCGGAGGAAACAAAGGGAGGAACACGCACTCACCCTTTCACCTTCGAACTTTTTTTGCCCGGCTGTCGAGGCTCCTGAGAGGAGGCGGGGTCTCGGGGCTCGGCCGGCTGGTCTGCGTCCTGACTGGAGGCGGCCCCAGCGGGGGCGGGGCCTGAAGACGGTGAGGCGGCGCTGGCCTTTAACGTTTTCTGCAGGTTTGAAACCTAAGTGGAGTAAAGTAAAAATGTGAAGTTAGTTGTGTAAGAGATCGGAGGCTAACGAGGAATGGAACAGTACAGTACGGTACAGCAGAACAGCTGGAAATGTAATAGTGTAAATGACAACACTGTTTTGTGCCAATCAAATATTTACATCGGGTATTCAACTAGCAACCTGTGAGTCTGATCATCTGTTGTATTTACTGAACATTTGTTTCTTACTGAAAACAAACAACAAAACAAAATCCACCATAAAATACCAGCCGTAGCTGCGAGCCCAAACCAATACTGACCTCTGTTTCCACTTGAACTTTGACCTTTAGCTGGCTCTCTCTGTACTGATTGGCCCGTGAGACTTGCTCCTCGATGCCACACAGCACAGCCTCACAGCCGGTGCACCTGAGGGAGAGAAACCAGCACAGGGTGTGTGTGAGTTAGAAGAACAGACACTGCAGACACACACACACACACACACACACACACACTTCCCCCCCCCCACCCTTTTCTTTACAGCCCACTTATTTTTAGTGCATCGAAAAAAATGTGAAGAACAAGAAACTCTCATTCTCAAAATGACCAGTGCAGGTGGCTGCTGCCCACACCGTGGGGCGAGGTCCTAGACCCAGTCAGTTATTGACATGTTCAGCCAGGGCTGAGGGTTTGTTTCCCAACCAAAGGGTGGCAGCCCCTCCACTGACCGCTCTCAGGAACGGGGCTAAAAACTGATGTTTTGTTTTAAATAAAAACGACTGCGTCGTCTGCATATCAACGACGTTACGATGGAGATTCTCCTTCCCCTGAAAGAGTGCGTCTGCCTAAAACGATTGCACACACACACACACACACACACACGTGCCGGGGCCCAGGACTGACCACTCCTGTAATGTGCTGATGATGTTGGGGAGTTCGTTGGGGCCGAGGTCACGACCCACGCTGCAGTCTACCTCCACCTGCTGGTTCCTCTGGTCCAGTTTCCCCTGGATGATGTCACAGTAGATGGCGTCGATCAGCAGGTCCTCCAGCTCACGCACGTTCTTCAGCTCCAGCTGCTGCAGGAGGAGCGAGTAGGGCAGGCACTGGAGGGGGGGTCGGGGGGGCAAAGGTAGAGAAAGGATAATTAACACAAATGGATGTTTTATGGAAGAAGAAGAAAAAAAAAAGTGTCACTTTCTTTAAATGTCACCACTGAGGACGACAGAAGAGGTGGGGGTTCAAAACCCTCTACCAGACAAAAGGTCACATGACCAGGAGGAGTAATGTTCCTGGGAGGTGAGGGTGAGTTATGGTCAAACCGTGACACTACCCGCTCCAGTACAGTAGGTGGCAGTGTTCTCCTGACCTAGGCCTGTTTTAAATCTCACTGTAATGAACTTCAACTTTGACAAAACGTGGTGAAAATCGAGCAGTTTTTATTTCTGGTCTTTTTTATTCTGGTCTGTTTTGCCCCGGGGGGGCCCCCCCCCCCCACACACACACACCCCCACACTGTTGATGTCCAGGGCATTTCAAGGTATTTCTGGGACATTTGCCTGGAGCCCCCTGTTAACCCACCCCTCGGCGCCGCCCTGTTGGTTCTGCCTAACGACTCATGTGTGACATCAGATATAATTGGTCTCAACAGTTTTTTTTTCTTGTTAAAAACTGAATTAAAACAAAAACCAAAAGAAAAGAAAAGAACGAACCTTGAGGTTTGACGCCAGGCTGATGATGGACAAATGGCGGAGTTTATTCCTCTGCGCCGGCGTCAGCTCTGGAAGTGAGGCCGCTCTCTCTGCAGCCACAGACGAGAC